AAGTTTATTTCCTACTGCTGTCAGAAGTGAGCAGTGTCACTGACACTCAACACCACAGAAAGCCTATGCAAATTCCAGCAGCTTTGTATCATCTAAAGCCTATTCCACTTCAGGGCTGGCACTTCCAGTCCTGGCTGCATCACACATCAGAGAAAGCAAAGTAGAAAGTCGTCACCTTCACACCCTGCCCTTCTACTGCAGCTCACTGCAAGTTATTTCTGCTTCCAGATCCTTGGCACAGGTTTTACCCAACTGCTCCATATTTAGGCACAGAAATTATATGAATAACACACATGCCCAAGATGGTCCTACAGAGTAACAAGGCAAGCAGGATAAGACTCCAAAAAGAGCCAGCAAGTCTGTTGTGTGACAGTTTCTCCCTTGCTCTTGGCAAGGCAGATTTTCAAGGACATACCTGTTTCACTGGTGGATTTCTGGACAGCTTTGGGTCCAAAAAAGCTCCATCTTTCAGATGGTATTCTGTCCCCACCACCTTCCATAGMAAAGTCTGGGCCAGTGATAGAAGCAGAAGATCCCTGACTGAACCAACCCCTAAGGAAAAAAAAAAAAAAAAAAAAAAATCATTGAGATGTTTAAAACAGGAGAATAAATACTTCAAGTGACCCCACTATGCCAGGAACTTTCCATGTAGTTAACAGGGGCAATTTAAGAAATCTTAATAGGTTTGTTACCACCCAGGATAAGATATGCATGCTCAAGTTCAATGAGCTTCCAGCATTTGAATCTATCCAACACAAACCTTCAGTAGGCTCAGCATTTCACCCCATACAGTCCCTCACTGGTAAGAAAGTTATTTGTAGCAGCTCCCACCTCAGCAGCCTGCAGGAAACCAAAGGAGGCAGAATACCTGGTTTTATGCCTGGGGGAGGAGTGGGGGGTGCTGCTTGGAGTGGACTGAGCAGAAGAATTCTGTTTGTCATCTTTTGTTGTCTCTCCATTCTGCATTTTTAGGTTCTGTCAGGAGAGGCAAGAGAAACACAAGCAACACAGCTTAAATACAGGACAGAAAGAAAAACACCCTGTTTTACTGTCAAAACTAGACAATTATTTATATCACAGGTGATAAAGAGTAAGTGTAACTTCACCTAAAGCTGTACCCAGCATTACAAAATCTGCATACACCCCTTAAGTTTCTCTCCACATCAAATATAAGCRTTTTGAAAGTTCACTTCAGGCTACAGGAAGGAACACCAGCACTCACAGGGAGGTTGTGAATGCAGCAGAGCTCACTTCAGCTCAGCTACCTGGTAACAGGCCTAAGTGTCATAGCACCCATTTGTCTCCAGCACTTTTCAGCTCTCTAATCAGGATGAGACCAGTTCTCACAGAAGGTACAATGTCAGGGACACCAGACGCTGTGAAGCAATCTGGGCATATCAGGATGGAAACACTTGCCCTGGAACAGAGATGAACCTGGGCACAAAATAAACAGGAACTGGGTGTATGCAAAGTGTGTTATTGCAAGCTGGACTGTACAAACTGAACTTTGGAGAAGTCACTTGAAGGGCAGTTACAGTTCAAACACAAAATACACAGGGTACCTTATAATGTTTCCTGTGACTATTCAAGCCTCACTAATGTAGTTCACCAACGCAGTTATTGAAACTTTGACCCYGTGAGAGGACACTGGAAGAGTTGACTATTAAATTCCAGCTGCAGGATTTTTTAGGAGCTCAGTAGCACACAGTAACATGTTCATTCAAGATATCTGTTTTCAGTAAGAAGCAAGGCCAGTTCCATCTGGTAACTTCCACACTGGAAATGCACAGTTTACCAGTTCTCTTCTGACAAACAGTTACAGAAATCAACTGCGGGGCACCATTCAAAGGTAAACCAGGAAATTAGATTGTGCAGGGTTGTCCCCACTTGGAAAGACAACTGTCATAATTTGATATGACAATGAAATGTGACAGATTTCAGAAAAATTGTGTTGGTTTCAAAACTACAAAGGCTAATGTTAACTTGAAAATAAAAGTGGGTAAACTTTTCTACACAATAAATTAAAGCCTTCAGAGGAAGCAACTTAAGGAGAGTCTTGGCAACACACTCAAAAAGTTGTCACCAGATAAATGCTAAACTAGACATAATCTGCACGGAGAAACCCAATGGAAAAAAGCCTTACGTGGACTGCCTCAGCCACTCGGTGGTACTTGGTCTCCTCAGTGGTGAGGCCTTTGTGGGGTGTGTAGCCAGCTTCCCTCAGTCCTGCCTGCTGCTCAAAGCGCTGGATGCTCTCCTGAGTCTGCTCTAGAACACACAAGAGCACAAATTCACACAGAAATGCCACCACAAGCAGTTCCAGCAAAGGCAGCTCCACCAATTGAATGTAAATCCATTTTTCATCATTCATACTTAGACAGTTGTAACAAGCTGATCAGATATGCTGACTTGACAACCTGAGACACCAGGTTAAATCAGATGAACAGTGATTTGTCCCAAATCACCAGATACATCACAAATGCAAACACCTGTAATTAATCCCATCTCACCCCAGACACTGCACCATTCCTACTCACAACTTCATAAATCCAGGAGAACCCAATAAGCTGGRCATTTTAAGTGGCCCGCTACATTCAAGAGAGCATTGTATATCATGTTTTAAAGACTCACAGTGATTTTAGATTAGGTAAAATAAGCTATTCCAGCTAGACAGAGAGCCAGCATCTAAAACACTGATGTCAACTTCAGTTCTGAAAAACATACACACTTTCTCCAAACCCCAGCATAAGATGTTCACTCTCTAATGAAACTAGGAAAAAAGTCAAAAGGAATCAGAGCACAAAAAGGTTACTGGAAAAGCATAATATCTTCTTCAAAACAGATAGCACTTCTCATAAAAAAGTATGATTTGTAGCTGCGGACAGATTAACACAGAAATAATTCCTCTTTTTGCAAAACAGCACATCTTCTCTGCAAACATAACTGACCCTATTTTATTTTTAAGCCTCATGATTTATGTTTTGAAGTGTTGCCGTTAGCAAGGCAGCTGCTGCTATTAACTAACATAAATGCCAGCAAGTGCTCCATTAGCACAGTGTGTCAGCTCTCCTCACCACTTGGGTTAATGGKAGAGCTCTGCCTGTCATTCAGAAACAGCAAGTTAATAAGCAAACAGAGCAGCAGCAGCCTCTGCACTCCAGCACCAGGGACTGCAGTGTCCTGTCAGCAAACAACAAACCTTGCACTCCCCCCCACCGCCAGCCCCTGGAAAAAACAGAAACACCACGTGTGGCCTATTCCCCAGTTCCTTGCTTCCTTCTAGAAGCATCTTCTGAAAAAAACAAACTCACACAGCAGCAGAGCACAGTCAGTCGGAACCAAGAGTTGTCTAGGAATTACCCCGAGGCATCATCAAGTGTGAGCACCCTCAGAGCCCACCCCCCATGTGAGAAATGCATTCTTACTTGTGATGAGGGAGTTCATGATGACATGAGTGGCCTTGGCCTTCACCACAGGCACCTTGTTCACACTTTCTGTGGATGATGAAGGAGTTACGACAGGTTTCATGGTGGGATCCCCTTCCTCATCCTGTAGGGAACCAGTAGAGAACAGTTTGAGATGGGAAAGTATCTCAGCACCTGGCCAGGCCACTCTCTAACCCACAAGTGAGACAAGGCCATGCTGCTCCAGCAGCCAGTCTTCACCCCACAGGAGAAACCCCTATGCTGTGCTCACTGCAGCCCAGGAATGTACAGAACCTTAGAATTCATACCAATGAACAAGCAACTCGCATCCATCATTTGAAAACCTACCAGGCTCAGACCCAAGAAGCTGTTAGTCCAAGTACAAACAGGGCAACAGGAAAGAAACCAGAACATCTGTTCTTCTCCTAAATGTAAACTGGACTTCAAGGTCAACAGGGCAAAAGCACCAAGAATGCCTTCTACAGGCATCTCAAGCACCAGCTGTTCAGAATGGCAGTCACAGAGCAGAGCCTGGTGTGAACAACTTGTTTTCCCACCTCRTTTCTTATATCTGTTTCTTGCTCAATGATTCAAGTGGTCATAGCTCTACCACTAACCATGAGACCTCAGCAAAGAAACAAAATAAATGCTAGAAAACAAGAAATCCTGTGMAACACTGACTTACTCCTCCCGAAACAGGAGTTCCTTGACTGGAGAGTTTCCTTTTGTACCAAACCACAACTTTCAGTTGCCTCCCACAAAAGATTTAAAAGCAAAGGAGGTATAAAATAGAGGTTAAACTCAAAGGAATGCAGTTACATATTTCCAGCCAAACAACACTTAAATTCAAACTTAGAAAACAACCTCTAAATTTAAAAGGGCTGGTCCTACACTCAAAGCATAGAATCCCAGAATRGTTTGGGTTGGAAGGGATCTTAAAAGATCATSCAGTTCCAACCCYCTGCCATTGCGGAGGGAYGCTTTCTCCTAGACCAGGTTACTCAGAGCTCAGGCTGGCTTTGAGCACTTGTTTTAGCCCTGTGCAAACTGTGTCAGTGCATCATCATCCTTATTGTAAAGGATTTCCATACAACCCAAACCCACCCTTATGCTCTAGTTTAGTAACACCTGGTTGCTAGGTTTTTTTAATCTACACTGAGGAGATGCCCAACACACGCTTGTCCCAACCACCCCTCGGTGTGCCCAGAGCACGGCCAGGTACCAATGCCCCCTGTCCCTCCCGAAAGTCCCGCTGAGAGGGCATGGTGGCAGCGCCAGCCAGGCAAGAGGAGTACCAAATAGCAAAGGATGTTTGGGAGAAGGGCGATGCTAGAATAGGGGTGCCAGAGCTGCGGGATACCCAAGGACATGCCGGGGCCAGGGCACCGCCGGGCCCGTACCTTCAAGAGCTCCTGGTACTTGCGCTCGGGGATGACCGGCTGCTTCCAGAGGACGCTGGCACACAGATCGGCAGGCGGCGGCGTCATGGGCGCCGTGTCCTCCAGGGCATCATCGTAGCTGAAGGCGCGGCGTGGGACGCCGAGRGGCAGCGACATCCTACCCGAGCGGGGCCCGCCGCTCGGCTCCAGCGCTGCGGAGAGAGCGCAGCGCTCAGCGCCTGCCGCCGCGGCCGACCGAGGCTGGCGGGGAGCGCGGGGGGAACCTTACCGGGAGCGTCGGGCTGCCGAGAGCTCATGGCTGGGGTTCAGCAGGGCCCAGCGAGCAGCGGCAGGGCCAGGCCCGGAGCGGCCATGGCGGAGCCTCCGGGAACCGCTACAACCGGAGRCAACTGCCGGTGAGGGGGCGCTCTTATAGGCGTGAAGTCTCGCGAGATGTGGTGGTTTCGCGTGGGGCATGCTGGGAGTTGTAGTTCCGGCAGAGGAGGCCGGGCGGGGCCGGGACAGGTCCCGGGTGGGTCCCCACCGGGTCCCCAGCACACCCACGGTCCCGTGGCGGGGCTGGGGTCGCGTCCTGCCCGTGTGTCCTGTCCTCCTGCAGGCAGGAGGCTGCTGGGTCAGCCSACACGGCTGGGTCCTGGAAAATCAATCGTGGAAGCTGGAGAGCCCATCAGCAAACAGGAATACAGGCCAATCAGTCTCACTGTGACGCTTCTTGGAGAGTTGCTCCTGCCTTTTGTCAATAAAAGGGTGATCTCTGCACTGCTCTCCACTTCCTCGGCAGGGAAGGAAGCAGCACATGGCCACGCTCCAAATTTTGCTGCCTACGGAACAACCAGCTAAAGTCCACACCCAGCCCTGTCACCACTGAGGGTGACACATACCCAACGTCAACATCACACAGGCTCGCACCAGAGCTCTCCAAAGCAGGACTGCACCAAGCAAGAGCCACAACAAAGATAATCACAACCAGCTAGAAAGAGTATTTTATTTTAGCAAAGCAAAAGAAGTGCTGGCTGCCACCCAGCAAGTAAKCAGCACAGCATAGTCAGTKCTGGTCTCAGTGTCTTTCATAATTMRTTATACCACCTCTGTTTAATAAGGTCCTTTCTCCATCMCCATTCCAAACTTTTTCCAGTTTGGAAAAAGGTCATGTCAAGCCTGCACTTGCAGATAAACCTGAGGAAAAAGAGCAGTCACTGCACTTCCATTTTCTCTGGCTTGAGTGATGCAATGAAATTCTTGTATTCTTCAGGATAGAAATTCTTGTACACGTTGATCTTTCTCTTTATCTGTTTGGGGGTATCCTGGTAGTAGTTCTTCTCATCCCGAGCCATTTCCTGTGACAAAGGAGAGGGAAAGTCAGAGGAGGAGCCCCAAGAGCGAACACCAAACCAGCCCACCCACACCAGAGTGATCACTGCCTGACTCAGACAGCGATCTGCCCACGGTTCAAAGCGTCGTTTTCCCTTAACAATCAGCTGACTGCAAAACAGGATCAAGGACAGAGAAGATWAGCAGTTTCCATCCTGCTGATGGGAAGATTCAGGAGTGAATCACTCTGAGCGATTCTGCTCTGTACCTTGTAGTTCTCCCCGTGGTTCTGGATCATGTACCGAACGTAGTCAATGAGGTCTCGTGAGAGTGTGTTCGACTTCTTCTCAGGGAGGCTGGCCTCCAATTCCATCTCTAGGCAGAGGGCAGAGGCAGCATGAGGCAGGGGAAGAAGAAACAACACCTCAGAGGTCCCCAGCCTCCCYCTAGGGTCAATTCCAGCTGTACAGCTTGGCTGCTCTCACACACACAGACACTTCCCAGCAGGAAAATGGCCCAGACAACAGCTCTCTGCATGGGCTGCAGGCATCCAGGCCTGCACRGCAGCTCCTCTCCAGCTCATGCAGGAGAAGCAGACCTTTTCAGCCCAGCCTGCAGAGAGTGACTGCTCAGATCTGCCCAGCCACCACTGAAACACAAAGCACTGCAGCCATGGCTCCTTGTCACCCTGGGGCCACACACCAGCACATCTCACCGTGACAAGATCCCTCCTGAGGCTGCAGGGACAAATATTGTAAAAAATACGTGCTTCTCCACAGGGCTGGACAAGAAATAGCACCCTTTCCTACCCTGGCACAGCACAGGGTGACAAAAYAGCCCAAGAACCCCAAATGCAGCACTGACCATTCACCACGTATGGCTTCCGCACTATTTTCTTTCCTGGCTGCTGTCCGTCACTTTCAGCTTCCAACCCCTGAGTAAGAGAAAAGACAACTGAAGAACAGTCCATTTGGAAGAATGCTGTGCCCCCACATATCGCTCCCAAAACTCTTCTACATGGCTGCAAGAGGCAGAAAATCCCAGCAGAGCTTTATTTGTGCCATTAAACTGGCTCGTGGGCAAGGCTGTAAGCTGAGAAACGCTGCGTGAATGAAAACAAATGGCAAACAAGGTCACTCCTATTTCTTTTCCTTGAGTTTCATGGAAACCTTTCACCTGGAAGCGTTGACATCTTATGCAGATGAGCCAGGCTGGCACTGCTGTACACAAAGAGCCTTTCTTTGTTATCAGGAGCAACTTGGCCRCAGCGTTCCCAACCCCACCTCTCTCTGGCAAGTCCCCGGAGATGGAATGACATTATTTGTATTTGTTCTAAAGTCCATTGTGTCTCCGTGGCGCTGTAGCTCGTTCCCACGCMAGGATCTTGGTGAAATAAGCGCACAGATCCAGATAAGAAACGTGTCCACCGCCAGAGACTGATCCAGAGCCACCTGYCCCAYGCTGCGAAGCTGACTGCTCTCCRCCCTGCTTTCCCCAACCTCCTCCATCCCCCCACAAACGAGCGGTCCCCGCCAAACCCTCCCTCACCACACTTACCAGCAGTTTCTTCGGGATGGGGAGAGCCTTGTTGGGGTCCTCGGCCAGGCCCATCTCGGCCAGGTTCTGCGCCACCGATTTGTGGGGGTCCCAGGCATGACGGATGTGCGAGCTGAGGGGGGACAAAGGGACATCAGGGCCGTGCTCGCCCTCCCGCGGGGTACGCGTCCCCCTCCCCCCGACACGTGCAGCGGCCCGGCCCACGCTCGGCCCGCACCCCCCGTGCTCACCAGGCGATCCGCGGCGCGGCGCGGCGGCGGGCGCTGCGGTACAGCCGCTTGCGGTTGAGGTTGTACGAGTATTTGTGCCGCCGGCTCTTCCCCTTGGCCTTCGGCATGGCGGACACGCGCGGGCTGCCCACAGCGCTGCCGGGCGCGCCCCGGGGCACCACGGGAAGTGTAGTTCCGAGACAGCAGGCCGCGCGATAAGTGCGCTGCCTCGGACTGCAACCCCCGGCATACACCGCGCCGGAGGCGGGCGCTACGGCAGCCGGGASAGGGCCGCTGTTGTCACCTTGGCCATGGAGGCCGGGCCGCCCCCACCGCTGGAGCCCATCCCGCTGCCCACGTTCGCKGAGGAGGGATTCGCCGAGAAGTTCATGCGCAAGACCCGCGAGAATCCCCTGGTGCCCCTCGGTGAGGGTGGGGCGGGGTGTGGCGGGACGGAGGCTGAGTGAGGGGTGAGGGCCGAGGCGGTGGTCCCTGGTGAGGGGTCGCGGCTCGGGTTTGGGGGTGCGGTGGAACCGGCCGGCAGCGCTCAGGCCCGGGGAAAGCTGCGCCTCACAGCCCCCATCCTTCCCCTCAGGCTGCCTGAGCACCGTCGGCGTCCTGGCCTACGGACTGCTCAGCTTCAGGAAGGGCAACACCCGGCGCTCCCAGCTGATGATGCGGGCGCGTGTCGTGGCCCAGGGCTTCACCTTCGCTGCCCTGCTGGGGGGCATGGTGGCCACGGCCATCAAATCCCGGCAGTGACATCGGGCAAGAGCAAAGCTGCGGTCACGGACAAGCGTCTACCAGCCCCGGCTGATCCAGGGTGGATCCTGTCTGTGGATGGAGTTTTCTGAGAGACTGTTGTGATATCTCGATGGAGCAAGTGTTGGAGCACTGGAATTGGGGTGTATACACTCTGTGATTAACATGTAATTTGTGCCGTGGCATTTTTTTTTTGTTTCCCTAAGAGCTCACTGTCCTGCAGCACTGAGGCTGCAGGTCACTAAGGCTCACCACCCCTGTCAGACCTCTCGTCCCTGCTTCATGCTGTCATAGGCTGATAAAATTGTGTTCTCTGGGCCGTGGTCTGAAGTGGGGCTCTACTCAGGCAGTGCACCAGCATTTGAGAATGAGCTGCCCATGAGGAAGGAACAGCTGTTTATGGCTTGGTCCTGGTAAGACAGAGTCCATAAGCAGCGGGGGAGGCAGTTTGTGAGGTTGTGTGACCTGTTCAGTTGAAACTGGTGAGTAATAAAGTGCATTGCAGCAAGATTCTGACTGATACTGGATTGCAGAGCAGAGAAGCCACAACAGTGCAGGGAGAAATGGGAGTGGGCATGGCTGTCTTGAGGATGTGGTGATACAAGCAGGACACAAAAGATGAAACTCTCAATGAAAACAARTTGGGAATTCTCATTTGTGAAATAGGGTCTGGCTGTGTTCTCTGGGATGTGCTGCTGCTTCAGCTGCTCTTGCTAGGGAGTTGTTACCTGCTGGCTGCAGAGGCGTGCCCTGTTCCCACAGGGGCCTGCACTGCCTGTGTCCTGACAAACATGGTCCCCCTGTTGGCTAAGGATCATACCAGGGGGTTTGGTGATGCATGAGGCGTCACTCTCCCCTGCCAGGGCTACAGAGCTGGGAGAACACAGGGCCACAGTCTGATCACTGTGCTGTGGCTGCAGCAGCTCATACCTGCAGGGGAAGGGGCACAGACACCTCTGCCTGTGCTGAAACACCTCACTGAGTAGCCTGGGCTGTTTTCACCACGTGTTGCCCTCTGTGTTGGTGCCTGTGCCCCAGCCACACAGAGCCCTTACAAGGACAGGCTGAGGGATGAACCCTCCRTCTGCAAACAAGCACCTTGTCCAGGAAATTGTGCTGGTGGGCCTTGGCAAGAAGAGAGGGAAGGCTCTTGCCACCAGAGCTAACCTCTGAGACATGAGGGAGTCTGGGGTTCTGCCCGTCTTCACTGGCTGCCTGTGCAGTACAYCYTTCCCAGAGRAAACTGCTTTTGTCTGCCTCACTGRCATTTCCAGTCCCGACAACTTGGGGCAGGGGTGTGAGAAGCAGTGGGCACAATCCCCTGGCAGATGGAGAGGAGTGCAGTGGACAGGGAAGCAGCTCAGTCTGTCTGGACAAGCCAGGGTTTGCAGCTCCTTAGGGATAGAGACAAACCCCAGGTCCCACTGCCACTGCTTCTGACCCATCTGTGCACAAATCTTCCAGCTTTCCCCTCCTGTTTTTTCCTGTAAGATGTTTCTCCTCCAGCTTCATCCTTTCCACAGAAAGCCTGGCTTCTCCAAAACATCGCATGTGTGTCCCTACTCCAGAAAGACAACAGTGCCCTGTAGGATTGGAGATGTCGGTTTATTGTAACAGGTAATTTGGACAGTCACAGATACCAAAGCCGAGGGGATGTAGAACAGCTGTGGGCATGGCTCCCCRAGAGCTGCCCCAGCCTGACATGGAGCACATGGCAGCTGAGGGACTCAGGGGCCCAGCCGCCTGCAGGGTCTGGAGGGATAGAGCACGGGGCAGAGGGGCACACTGCCCCCAGAAGCAGCCAGGAGTGCTTCCCGCTGCTCTGCAATGAAAGGCTGAGGCAGGCAGCCAAGTCCCAAGGTGTCCTGCAGCACAGCAGAGCTGCCTACGCATGCTGGAGCTCAGGGCAGCCAGGCAGGAACCATCAGCCCTATGGGCAGGGGCACAGTCCCAACACACAACAGCRGGTGATTCCCTACATATCCATTTCCCTTCCCAGCCCATCGGGGGGATCATGCCGCAGAGCCACGGGTCTCCAGGCACAGCTCCCGCAGCTGCAGCAGTCGGACAGGTGACATTCTGGCCCTGGAGCCACAGCTGCAGGGCAGGAGAGCTCCAAACACCTGAATTCCAGTTGAGCAGGGCTCTGCAGAGGGGCTCAAGTGTTTTGTGGGCTCTGCTCTATGTCCCCTCAGCTATGTCCCCCCAGCTGCTGCAAGCCCTTCCCAAGCCCCCAACAGGCCAGACTCAGGGCATAAGCTCAAGGCTGTCCCTCTCCTGCTACCCGGGAGTTGTGCAGGTTCCCAGGGCTGGTGCCATTCTTTCCAAGCAGAGGAGAGAAAGTTGGAGCAGGGAGCAGGTCTGAGGCATCTCCCCACACTGCCTTAGGTGGGCAAATCCAGGGGGGCAGAGCAGCTGCAGACAGATGTGCAGGTTGTTCTCAGGGACAGTACAAGCCTCAGAACCAGAACTCTGCCCAACCCTGCTCTGGGCCCCTGGGTTAGGCAGCTGGGRGGCTTGACCTTCCTATCTCCTTCCCTGCTACTACACAGCCTCCATCTCCCATTCTAGTACCAAGGGAAGGAGCAGAGCAAAGCCAAGAGTCCTCCAGAGCCTGGCATCCCACATYCCCAACTGCTGGCATTCATGGGAAAAGGACAGGAAACATCCTGCACACTCCCTCCATAGTCCCTTCCCAGTGACCYACACCACTGTGCTGCCAGCCCTGCAGGACAGATGGGACATGGACACTGTAGCCCCACCAGCTTTTTGGGGTGCATAGCCAGGCTGGGCAGAGTTCTGATGGGCTTGGRGAAGCTGCTGGCAGTCCAGGCCCAACCTGGGTGCCTGTACTCACATTCCTCAGTCCCTGCCAGTGTGGCAGTGTCATGCTGCAGCCATGCTCCCTGCAGCACCTAGCAGTGTGGAGCTGAGCCAGGGTTGTTTCTCTACCCTCCCAGCCCTGCTCCAGCTCTGCTCTAAACCCTGCGGAAAAGGCAAACAGCCCAGGGTCCCACTGGAATCCCTGCCTCAGGGCTAGGACTGAGGCCTGGACATGAGGCTGGCCAGGAGACACAGGCAGGTTTATTCCCAGCACAGGGCTGAGGTGGGGAATACAGGAAGGGGATGTTCCCTGCTCACTCAGCCAGGCCCTCAGACATAACCTCCTGCAGAGCCTGGGCTGGGGCTTCCCCGCTAATTCAGCTCTGCCACCCAGTGCCACTTGCCGGGGAAATGCCACCGTGATTTATAAATAAGTGTAAAAAGAGACCGATGAACCTTTTAAGCAAAGGAAAACCATGGGGAGAGTTATACAACCAGTGACTCGAGCACAGCCGAGGCGCAGATCAGGGAGCAGGCAGCAGGAGGCCCTTSCTGGGCCAGCCCCCGAAGCCGCCTGGCTCAGTGAGCCCAGACATGCCCGCTGTGCTCCCAGCTGTGCCAGGCACAGCTAACGGGACAGGGGTGTCTGTTTGAGGGAGATGAGCACCGAGCGCATCCGYGAGACATCCTTGCTCTGCTTGCTGCTCTTGGGATTGAAATCACACAGCTGGGCCACCTTCTCCCACTCAGAGCCCGGGGTCTCCTCCTTGGACTCCTTCAGGAATGCTTCCTCTGAGGCCCTGCAGAGACATTGAGGGTTGTCATTGGCAGAGCCCTTTCCCAGGAAACTATTCCTCCTGTCTTAAAAACCCTTGTGTCCCCGCTTCCTGTCCCTTTACTCCAGCTGATAAGCTCAGTGTCCTCTGGGACCCAGAGACACACAATGCTCAAGTGTGGCTGCACTCACCCAAAACATCATTCATCCCAGGGGGCTGGGGTGTCTGCCTGCTCCCATGACTTCTCCACCCACCAGAGCAATCCCCAAAAAGGCATAAGAGCCCATGGCTTTGCATCTTCAACCAGCTCCCACAGAAGCATTTCCAGAAGCTCCACTCATCTCCTAAAACTCCACCACCTGGAGACACTCAGCTGCATCATTCTCCCTCTGGTACCTCACCAGAGCCCAGTACCTCCCAGTATCCCCTCTTCCCTTTGCTGGGCAGGCATTGCTGGGGCTGGGATCCCCAGAGCCTGCTGGGCAGGATATGGTCTGTAAGAGGCACATACACGTAGCCAATGATATCGGCGTCCGGCTGCTGGTAAAAGGCTTTGTCAGCGATCCTAGCCCCAGGCACAGAGAGAGAGAGAGCGGAGYGGAGCGACAGGCAGGCAGAGGGTTAGAAAGAGAGAACAGAGGGGGTTAGTCCTCCCAAAGAGTGTGACCCACACACTGCAGYACACCAGGAGAACCTGGAGCCCCACCCTGCCCCCTGCGAGCCCCATGCAGGGGCAGGAGGCACTGAGATGCCAGGGTGATTCCATAATAGTCCCAGCCAGGGCGGCTCTGCACAGACACCAGAGCCACTCCAAGACGTGGGGCCTCTATGCTTACTTGGCAAGGTCCCTGCATGGCTGAGCCCCACTGTGGGGAAAGAGACCCCCAGACATCCCAGGAAGGCACAGAGTCCTCTTGGCCATGCTGATGTACCTGTTGTTTGCTCGGTTCTTCTCCATTTGCTCATTCTGACGCAGGTTCCACTCCTCCAGGTCCTTCTTGGCCTTCTCACGCCATTCCTGYTCAGTCACCTTTGATGCCGCATCTAAAGCCCAAGTGAGACAGAGCCCATCACCCACACTGGCACCTGCWGGGTGTGGTGGGCAGCCCCTCAGCAGGCATGACAGCTGCAACCTCCCAGACCTGTCCCCAGTCCCTACAACATTGGCAAGAGGCACCACTGCCCCAAGGACAGTGTATCTTTGGCAGGGGCACGAGACATCTCTCTGGTTTGCAGCAGTCACCATGAGGTGAGRGACCCCAAGGGCCCTGACTGCATGCCACACTTTTGGCCAAGCGTGGCCAAATATGGCTTTGGGTCTCACCCAGCTCCTCCAGGCGCTTCTTCTGCTCCTCCCTCCACTTGCGGATGCTCTCGGGTTCCTGYGTCAGCCGGTCAGCTTTGGCTATGGCTGCATAGGCATCCGTGGGGCCGTTGGATTCCTGCAGGACATGAGCACCTCACCATCAGCACCAGCTCTTTCCACAGCCCAGCCCAGCCACCTCCAAGGGCTGGCAGCAGGCAGGACTCCACACTCCCAGCACTGCCAAACCAAGATAGGAGGTGGGAAGGGTGACAGCTTGGGATATGTGGGACAGTGTTCCCAAAGTGCTGTTCAAGCTGTGTCCCAGCCTCAGGCCCTGTCACCTAAAGCCTTCCCAGTGTTTCCCTCCTTGACCTGCTGCTCACTGTCACTGCAGCTCTCGCATCCTCCAGGCAGTCCCACAGCACTGGACAGCCACTGGCCTCAGAACTTCTCCCCAGGGATTCCCTAGCCCTCACAGGGGCCCCAGCAGCCCTGGGACTGAGCTGCTTCCCTCACTCCAGAGCCAAAGTGCCTACATGGCCTTGCCAAACCCAGCACCGTGCTGGCTCAACACCTTCCCTAACACCTTCCACTGGCCAGATGCCCAATCTGACATGGAGCTCAGCAATGGGATTATAGCTTTCTTCAAAGATCCTCAATCTAATTAAGTCTGTCCCATTACTGATCTGATTATCATCCTGTAAAGCAGGCATGGGCAGTGCATATACCCCACTGCTGGGTACCATAGGGGTGAGAGCTTCKCAGATAGTGGCATTGCTGACAGCAGAGMTGGGCTTCAGGCTCCCGGAAGGATYGGAGACCCAGGTGGGTCCCCMTGAAATACCYCTAGCCACGGGGCAAGTGATTTTAATGGGAGATGCAAGTGTCTCATGGCCTGGTCTGGCTCTGGCCTCTGCCAAGAGATGCTCCTGCCTGCCCCAGAGACCTCCAGAAGCTACCCAGGCTGGAGAGAGGGGGCTTCCATGGGGAATGGAGGATTTGTCACCTGCTCTTAGGACCCAGGCACTCCTTCATGGCACAAGCCACCTGCAAACAGATGTGGGGCAGGCCATGGCAGGTGGGACATCTTCTCCTCAAAGAGAATGGAGCAGCCAGGACTCCCACRGGAGACCCAGACCTTTCCAGGAGCACCGTAGCTGTTCTGCAGCTGGATAGCAAACTCCAGTCAATGCTTGGGGCAGATCAGCAGAATGCTGGCCCCACATCCACTGAATCACCCTTAGCAGCCCTGGGCTGGGAAAAGGCTGAGCGCTCACCTGAAAGACATCTCCATTGACAGTAGCTCCTCCATTCTGGAAACCTGCTCAAGAAAAAAGAAGAGAGAAGGAAAAACACACCTATGGCAGCTGCAGGTGATCCCAGAAGGGCTGGTGTTCAAGAAACGACATCAAAGCAATTCCTGGGTGTTTGTGCCATTTTCAGCCCAGCACACTCATCCCCAACACCCCCACAGTGTCCTGTCCTTGGTGGGATTCAGCAAGCACCTCTCTCTCCCACACAAAACTCTGCAGGCATTTATGTCTTTATRGTGTTTTCACTGGTGTTTTATCTTATCTGAAGATTAGGGAAACTGTTCTAGCACAAGTCTGACACATGCTGCTGCTCTGACRGTAGAAAGACAACCTGACCAACTCCAACCTGCAGAGGCTGCTGATAGACACGGCTGATCTAAGAGCTGCCAGCTGAGTGTCGAGGCAACTCCCCAGGGACATGGCCCATGGAAACACTTCACGTGCTCCACTAGGAGAGGAGGGCATGCCTGCAGGCTGGGGTCCTTGGCAGCCCACCTGGGATGAGCTGCAAGGTCAGGGCTGGAAATGAGGCACGCACCTGCCCCCACAGCCCCAGAGAGCTGCACACAGCCCCAGAGAGCTGCTCACAAAGCCAGCCCAAGCAGGGGGCTTCTTGCTGCCAAGAGAGAAAGAGGCCTTGAAGGAGTCACACTCCAGACCCTGAGCTTTCCCCAGTGATCACAAGGCTTCTCCTGGCCAGCCAGCTGCAGGCACAGTACAGCTCAGGCCAGCACTGTCCCCAAGGTGCTCACCCCCATGACTACACCCAGCTCCAGCCTGTCTGACTGCATTTATCACTGTGACTGCCAACACCTCTCCAGGCCCTSATCTGTCTCTAAGGCCCTGTGTGCACAGCTGTGAAACCACTGCTTCACAGCCAGTATGAGGTGACCCTGTGGGGCTGGGTTAGGGGAAGGAGTCAGAGCCCTGTGGAAACAATGTCCCTATGTCCATGCAGAGAGCGCACGCCAGAGCCCCTGCAGACTGCAGGCAAGAGATCAGAATTAGCACATTCTACCTGCAGGGCCTGGGACCACAACGTTCCCAATGGCAATGTCTTCCATTTTGCATCCCAAAGGGCTCTCCTGTCCGTGGGGACAGTGACAAGGCTGTCATTGCTCCTCAGTGCCGCCTGGATGCCTTTTACACTGCCATAGCTGGGAGCACTGAAATATGGAGTCGGGAGTCCATCAAACCCGGGAAACCCAGCCTGAGCGCAAGGGGGAAAAGTCGCCCCATGGCTGGCACATCCCAGGCTTCACCCCACATCCCGAGGTTCGAGAAGCTCTTTGAGAATCATTCCTGGGATGCCAGCCTGGCTCACCAGATCACSCCGCCACCGGCCCATGAGGAGCAGCACAGACCCCATCATTCACCGGGGATGCTGCGTATCCCCCRCGGACCCCAGACCCGCGTGGGTGCGGCCGGGAGGACCCTTCCCTGCCCTCGAGGCAGGAAGGGGCACAGCCTAGGCAGCCCGCCCGCACCCAGCGGGAGCGCAGCCGGGCGGCCCCCGCGGCCGTACTCACCCTGTTCCGGCGGGGCCGCCTGCCCGCCCGGGGCGGCGGCCGCCTCGCCGTCGGTCGGCCCGAAGCCCTCATCATTCTCGATGCCCGCGATCTCGCTCTCCTGCTGGGCCAGAAAGGCGGCGGCCGGGTCCTCCTCGGCGCCAGCGCCCTCGGATGAGGAAAAGAAGCCGAAGTCGTCGGCCATGACCGGCCCGCCCGCGCCGCTCCCGGTCCGGCTGCGCGGCTCGGCTGGGCTGGGCCCGACTGTGCCCGGGCGGAGCTGTCGCTGTCACTGCGGCGGCGGGCGGGGCGGCCGCGCTGACATCAGCGCCGGGCGGGCCCGCGGGCRCGTCCCGCCTCCCCGCCAGCCGCAGCGGGCACGGGGAGCTTGGGCTGCCCGGCWGCTTCTATCGGGGCTCGACTGGCCGCAGTCCCGCCGCGCCGACCCCTCGCGCGGGTGCTCGTAGCTGCGGGTGGGAGCTGGGGCCCCTCACAGCCTCCTCCATCTTAGCGGCCGCCGCCATCTTGGGCCCGGCGCACTGGCGGCCCACCGGGACGAGGGGTGCTGGGCAGGACCCACCCGGCTGGACCGGAGGTAGCGGGCAGGATCCACCCGGCGGGACCACAAGTTCCCGGGCAGGACCCACTCGGTGTCCGGCAGCCTTCGTGGTGACGGGAGCACAACTCCCGGGGGTCGCTTGCTTATATTTCCACCTCAGGCTCAGGGCCCACTCCCACAGCCTGCTCTACCCCCCGCCCCTCGGTTCGCTTCGGAACTCCTCGTGTGTCCGCCGGGAACACCCGAGCGGTGCTCGGCACACTTCGGAACTCTACGTGCTCCCGCCGGGGACACCCGAGAGCGGCCAACGCCGCCGATGGGACTCGGGCGATTCCGGACAGGCCCTAGAGTGCTTCGGGTTTGTCCGGAATGCGGCCAAGCAGTTCCGGCAGAGGCCGATAAACAGCCATTGGCCGCGCCGCGCGGGGCCGGGGTGGAAGTGTGGGCGGGCAACGTCACTTCCGGAGAGTGACGGAGCGGCGGGTCAGAGGCGGCGGCAAAATGGCGGCGCCTGAGGAACGGGAGCTGACGGCGGAACAGACCGAGAAGCTGCTGCAGTTCCAGGTGCCACGTCCCGGGGGRCCCGTGCCGGCCGGCGGGAGCGGGGGAGGCGGTGCATGGACACGGAACGAGCTGAGCTGGGCCCGCTCCGTCGGCACTGGGGGGTACGGGGCTTACAGAGCCGGGTAGGCCCGTCCTGGAGCGGGGTGTCGGGCTGGGCCCGAGGGGACGGGGAGAGGAGAGACACCTGTGGTCCCGGTCCTGGCGGAGGTGAGTGACACTTCTGTGCCCTGAGCACTTCATCGGGGTGATGTTGTGTCATCGCTAATTGGGGAGGCCAGAGGTGGCTGCTAAGTAAACTCCATATAGGAAAAACTCCTTGGTAAGTCCCGGCCATTTTCATTARTGTGAAAATTTTCCTTGTGGTAGCTGGAGAGCCTTTCCTGCTACCGGGGGAGGGTTCTCCAGTGGGTTTCAGTGGAACATGGTTCATGTCTCTCACGATTTGGTAACGCCACTGGAGACTGTAATGATCTAATCTGTGTCTGCTCTAYAACACGGGCAGGGTCGCTTAACCTTTGGTTTGCTGAGGCCTCGGGCTGTGTAGCAGATAAGTGATCATAAACATAATATGAAGATGTCATTTATTGGGACRAAATAGTGCTYRGCAGCTGAAATATTTAGGRTTGCTCAATGATGAGTAATTAAACGTGCTGAGCAATGAAAATTACCTTCAGGTGTGTTGGGTTTGTTTCAGATCTGTAGCACATCACGTGGTGTCCTGTGGATTGCAGAGTCCTTTTACAGATAGAGTAATTACTTTTAAGAGCATTTTTTCTGGTTTTGTTGCTTTACCTTTGTTGTTTCTTTAAGACTGTGYTTTGGAAGTTTGGTGTGATTTAACTGTAGATTTTAAGGGACTCCAGAGCCGTCTGGCCCTGCCTTCCCCAGATGAGACAGTGCAGGTGCTCATCATTCCACACATTGACTTCCCAAGCCTTTACCTGATTCACAGCCCCCTGACTTCATGTGCTGAGGCATTTTCTCATTACTGGACCTATGAGGAAACTTGTTTTACAGATGTCTCCTCTAAATCTACTGCAAATTGAGCTGTTTGGATAGTCAAATCAAATACAGACAAAGGGCACAGAGCAGTGTTAACCGTTGCTGTCCCAGTGCTGCCTGGGTTTTGCATATATAGGTGTGCAAAAGGTCSCATTCTCTTGCTGTGGGAGATCCTGGTACTTACTCATCTGCAAAGTGTAGACAGATGGGATCAGCTGCTCTCACCAGTGCCCCTGCTGTTATTTTCAAATCCCTGTGGGCAGCTCTGAAACTAAAGAATCCTGTTTTCCARTGGTACCTGGTGTTGTCATGGATGGAGAGGGAGGAGAAGGCAGTGGGAGGAAGGATTTATGCTTTAGTTCAGCTTCGTGTCAAGCCCTGGTCTGAGGCAGGGAGAAATACTCCTAAAGTTATAAAAGGGAAACACTTTTCAGTTAGGAGATTACTGCTGTTCAGAGCCAGATGTGAAAGGTRTGGTCCAGAAGGCTTGGATACCAGGATCCTTGTTCTTCTGTGCCCTGGGGTATGGGGGACCAGCTTTCTCCAGGGCTAATGACAGACCCCACTGGTGATTCCTTCTCCTCTGATASATCACACCTGGCTGAAATGGGCTCAGGTGTGACTCTTGCTGCTTCCTTGACAGTAAGTCAGTCCACATGGAAGAGATTTTTTTTTTTTTTCTTGGATGCTGTTAAGAAACATTTGGTGTATGGAGAGGATATCTAAGTCTCATTAAAATAATCTGTATATTGCTACAAAACACTGCTACAAGTCAGCTTGGAAAACCCTTCAGCAACCTCTGCTGACTTTGCAGGGAACGCTTCAGTGTTTTCAAGGATAATTTCACACTTTGTGATGTGCCATATCGTAAGTAGGCTTTACAGTGTTCTGTGGTGGCAGAGCACTGCGCTRCCACAGAAGGTATGTGCCACTGCAGTGTGAACAGAGCAGGAGAGCAGACTAGGAAAGAAGGGAGGATGACAAAGATAAGTAATAGTAGAAGGCTCTCAGTTAAATGGATAGCCAGAGGGRARCATTGAGCCAGGACTCCCATTCACYCAGCAAACAGCTGTTTGTGCTGAAGACGCTGTTGTCCTAAGCTGTGTATCTCACTTCTACTGGAAATTGCGTCTTTACAAGCAGAGGTGAATGTGCTGTCCAGGCCCAAGCTGTTGGGCACAATCCTGTGTTAGTGCCTGCTCTGCATTAATTCCACTGATGTTTGTGTGATGGGTTCTGTCGTGCTTGTACAAACAGCKTGGCTGGCAGAATGCTGAAACCAGCAGCTTCCGTCTTGTGGGCAGGACTGGAATAGGGCAGCTGTCTGCACCCCTGAGTCAGGTTTGTGAAGGAAAGAAAAAGACCACTGCGAGAACTGAGATAAACTTGAAAGCAGCAAAACCTCTTGGATTCTTTCAGCCTCCCATTKACTGCTGGAGAACTAATAATGTAGGGGAATAAAAGCATCTAAATTTTTCATCTGTCAAGACCTTGCTGTCCTGACGTTTGTAGAGAGAAGTTTGATGTCAATAGTTTAGGAAAGCTGTGGAGGTATGACTCATTTGGGAGATGGAAGAAACAGCAGAGCAGCTTTTGTAGGATCTGGTTATTGATCTGTGCCCATTACACTTGAGCTGATGTCTGATATTGTAATATGCTAATGTAAAGTAATGGAGTGTTATTTGCAAAAGAGTTGGCACTCATGATACTGTCTCTGACTTCAGCTGGGGAAAACAGAATGCTCAGGGCTGGATATGGCTCTGATTTAGGGGAAAGAGGAAACATTAAACTCCAGGCATCTTTTCCACTCAGTGTATCTATCAAAACCCTCCATAGGCATTTGCTGTAATATGCAATGTGAAACTCTCGGTTAAGGTCTTTTTTCCAGTTAGAACTCAGATGTTCTTTACCCCTGGAAACATTATTCTCTGGAATTTGGCAGTGGGCTGGGAAGTAAGAGCAGTGCCAGTTAGTCCTGTGGATTTGCATCTCTTGTGCTGTTGTTCTTGCTGCCRTTTCAACATCAGAGCGTTTCTGCAGAGGCAACAGTTTCGTAAGTCCAGTTTACAACCTTTGTCCACTCAGGGGTATTCCTTCTGCTTTTGAAGCATGGAATTGTACTTTCCACTATCTCATTATTGAGAGATTCTGAGCAGTCTCAAAGGTGAGAGATACAAATAACTGCCTCTAGCAAAAGCTTCATTATTGTTTACAATAGCACTTTGTGTGGTGGTTAAGAAGGCAATATTGAACTTTCCTGACATTTGTGGAATTTAATATTTTGTTTTTGAAATATTAGCCACTGTCTTGAGCTTGGATTTACTTGAAGGTTTGAGGGTGCTGGTTTAATGGTACTAATTCTCACCACAGGGGACTTTGTTTTTATTACTTATTGTGTCTGTAAAATACATGTTCTTGGAGGCAGCTCCTGAGACCACAGTGAGTAGAATCCAAGCACCAAGGTTTGAAGATGTTGGTTATTCTCTGAGTCTTGATGACACAAAGAATGTGCTCGTATGCCCTGTGCTTAACAGTTTGCAGCTGAGCAACGTTCACCAGAAATGCTGTGAGTGGGGCTGGGGAAGCGATGTGGTATTTAGAGTTTCTGATCTGTTTCCATGGCTTAGTGAAGCAGTGGCCATAGGAATGTCATGGTGGTGATATGACCAGTATCGGTGTTTGCCAGCAAGAGTTGTCTGAAGTGGCAGTTGAACTGTGGTCCCGCCGTTCCTTTCATCGGTTGTGGGTCGTTCTGAACCCTGGTGTGTCTCYCAGGACATCTTGGAGCTGTGGTGTGTCCACTGGAGCACATCAGAGTAACAGCCAACAAGGTGTTGAGCTTTAAAAGCTTCCTTTGCACAGTTTTTTCCTGCAGTGTTTAATTGTGCAGCCTCATTGGTCAGATGAGTGGTGGGAGCACTCAGCACTGCTGCTTGGAGTGGTTTTGTCACTTCTGGTTTGTGTTGAGAGCAGCTGAATTAAGATGCTAARRARAAAAAAGGGGGRRAAAAGGAAATTCACCTCATTGGAGAATTCACGTAGAACACTGGGGTGTGACCAGGGCTGCCTGTCACTGTGTGGTGGTCAGGAAGGGTGAAGTTGGCTGGCTTTAGTGTCTCTCTGGAGCCCAGGAGGTTTTGCAGTGATTCAGTGCTCATTAAATGCTTGTTGATAG